GAGAGTTAGGGTGATCTCTTGGACAAATCACCCCTTAGGTCGCCACGATAGGGTCAGCACGCAAAGGGAGGGGCAAGGGGAAACTAGAGGTTCTCCCTGTGGACCGACCCGTGACGAGATCCTACGCCCGGGCCCATAACATATGGTTGCATCTGGATGATGGACATTGGAATGTTTTGAATTTAGTTCCTGGGAGATTTGAAATTAGTCAAATTTCAAATTTGGCTAGAGCATTAAACTTGAAGGATAAACTTCCCCTGCCATACAATAGATCCAAAGTACAGAATCCATGGATCCGACTCATCCAAACATGGCCTAACGGATATTATTCCATTTGCTCAAACTTGATATCATTTCAATGGTCAATTATGTTTTTTCTCTTTTTTGGATGGGCAATGTGTTAGCGTTCACTGTTAGGCAATGAAGGCAGGGTTTGATCTCAAGACTGCAGTTTGACTYCTCTAGACGTTACAAATTGAGCCGAGCCAGCTTGCAACTTCAGATTGTGGACTGTCTTTGCTTCCATATTATTATCATGTAAAATATGGGCATATGTGTACCTCTTTGTGATTTAGGTTTATGTGCAATTAAGGTTCTCATGATTTGAAGAGGCAAGGTGTAATGCAAAACTAAACTTACTATAGTTTTTTATGTATTTTGGAGTACAATTTATCTTTTATTTTTATATTTCCTTTTTATTACATATRTAATCTTTTTAATATGAATCCTATGTTTTTGAAATTTATTTTGTGTTTTGTTTTATGTTTATAACTTTCTCTACCTAAATGAAATCATTTGTTTATTTAACTTGTATATATTCTAGCTCATTTTTTGCTTAAATATTTTATAAATATTTTGAAATGAACAATCATTTTTAGTTTTAAGGTTGGTGGGTCCTACTACCATGTCTTATGTGTGAACATATAAGTAGAGATGCTAATCACACGTGTAGTAGAATGAGATGTGGTGTAGTACATTGGGAGACTTTTATTTGGTAACCAAGAGAGAAACAAAGATATTTTTTGGGTTAAGAGAAATTGTTAGGTATTCTCACATGTAGTTAAGAGAAATTGTTAGGTCTATGTTGTTTGCTTTTATTGAATTTTGGAAAATATGATATAATTTTTCTTTTTTGCATTTTTATAGATTAATTACATGRGCCATGTGCCTCACCAATTTGAGGAGAAAGGTGGTGCAATGCATACCTCACTAAACTTGATAACTATGCCTCAGACCTAGTACAGAAGGCAGCTAAGGCTTGGTGTTTTGGCTGCACCTCACCTYGAGGCATACACCTTGGCACCTTTTAAAGCCATGTTCTGTTGAGTTCCATATCCATTGTTATGAGCTCTTGACTACTTCAACCTATGTCCTTAGTCTTCCCCTAACTCCTTTTTTTTTTCTTTATCAATTGCATGAAAGGCATTCATCTCAAAGGAGAGCAAAACAATCCAAGAACTGTAGGCCAAACAGTTTTGTGCAACTCAACATTGACCTATTGAAAAAATAGAAATGAGTTTAAATTTGGTAAAAATCCCTCCTTGGACTTGGAAGCCCCCACTCCAGAACATTTTTTTTTTTAAATACCTTTCCTAGCTGGCACGTTTGCTCGGTTTTTTTGCAGTCCAAGTTATCCTAAGTTGCTACTGATGGTTTCTTCTCTTGTCATTGACCAATATGCAATCTTTACTGTTACATTTTCTATGAACATGTGCACTTCAAGCTTTTTTCGTTGATGTTTCTTTCGTTATGCTTATTCTAAATGCTCCATATATTGCTGCTCTAGTACTTTGCCACATAAGCTTGCCCCTTTGATTGTGAAGGAGTTTGAGGGGCAAAAAGAGATAAAGTATTACTTGTGAAGCAGTCCAAGTCTTTCCAAAATGAAGAAAGAAGTGGGTTCAAATCTTTGTTACATAGGGGCAAGATAAGAAGAGATATGATTGATATTCTCCCCATATTTGAAACAAAAGATGCACACGAGGGGACAGATAACTGTTTAATCTCCTTTGAGGCATCTCACCTGTGTTGATGATCTTGAGAGAGGCTTCCTAGCAAGAAGCCTTTACTTAAGGATAAAGGCCTTTCCGAACAGCTTTGAAGGGGATAGGAATGGGGTTTTGTGGAGAGGGGTCCAAGGCTTCAAGGAAAGATTTATAAGAAATGTTCCGCCAGAGTCAACAGGCCACATTCATTAGTCTTCATTTTGTGTAAGAAAAACTTATTTGAGGAGATTGAGCAAATTGATCTGCTCCTAGCTCTTTTAGACCCTTCAACTTGTTAAAGATCACTTCTCGTTGGTGCTTTAGATGATTGTTTCTGTACATCACCTAACCATCTTAGTCTACTTTCCTTCATTTTATCACCTACTCCTAGGTTCCTTCTAGTAAGTTATTTTTTCATCTTATTATTTCTAATTTTCTCATTCATCCATCTCAACATTCGCATATCTGCTAAACTTATTTTTTGTTCATGTTTCTTGACTGTCCAACTCTTGGCTCCATACACATCCTTACTGGCCTTGCAACTGTTTTAGAAAAAAAACCCTTTGAACTAAGTGGTATTCTCTTAATGCATTGGATTCCAGATGCATGTTTCTTGACTGTCCAACTCTTGGCTCCATACACATCCTTACTGGCCTTGCAACTGTTTTAGAAAAAAAACCCTTTGAACTAAGTGGTATTCTCTTAATGCATTGGATTCCAGATGCACCTATCTACTTTGCCCATTCTGTTCTACTTCTATGGGAATTCCCATGCATACCTTCACTTGGTGTGACACCTTTATTTATCTGCATCTGGAGAACACTCAAGGTTAAAACATTCGTAGTGTGAAGTGGACTATTACTTGGCCAGGATGCATTTCTTGTGAATTATGTCAGAAGTTCAAAATGGAAGTTTTACTCCTTGAACTGTAACCAGTGTGTTGGACTGGCCAGAAGTTCCATTTCTTGTGAATTCTATCATAATATACCTGCTCTGTAGAAAAATTTTTCAATGATTAAATGTTAATCAAGTTTTTTCTTTATCACCCCTTACAGCTTCTGAAACAACTTAAGGTTCTTGAAAGAACTGTTCCTTTTCCATGTTTGCAGGTGACCAAAGCATACAATTATATTCACAAATATGGATTTAAATCAAAGTTAATGGCAGCTGCAGTTCGAAACAAGCAGGATATATTCAGCCTCCTGGGGTAGGAACAATGTGCCCTCATGCATTGACTATTGTTGATTTGAAGATTCTGTCTTCAGGATATTCACAAGGTGTTTATTCAATTCTTGCATTCTYAGGGTTGACTACATTATTGCACCATTGAAGATATTGCAGTCACTCAAAGAATCCATTACCTCCCCTGATGAGAAGTATTCTTTTGTGAGGAGTCTATCTCCACAATCCGCTGCAGCTTACAATTTCAGTGAAGAGGATGTATGATATTTTCCCTTAATTCTGTCTTCTTTTCCCCTGGCTTGCATGGTAACTTGTTTTACTTTAGTTAAAAAGTAGCAAAATAGTAGGAGATCCACAACTTATTTTCTCCAGGGATCATGTTATCCAACTCCAAGGTAAGAAGTATATAATGGGAGATAGCTTCCTTAGTGAATGTCACATTTGATGATGCCAAGCATTCTCAATCATGCCATCTATCAATACTGTTGGTCAATATGTTGGAACTTGGGTGAGCCATTAGATAATAATCCCGATGATCTACTAATCCTGAACTGCCTGATACGTGTAATCAACTTGAGCACACCACTGAGTAGGTTGTTTCCTGTGGTTAACCCACCCAAGAAGAGGTAGCCAAATGGCTGAAAACGGAATAATGCATTGGTTGGCCATGTGAACATAGCATGGTGCCTGCTATTTTGAAAGATGGAATTGGACCCCTCGTTAATTTTCTCTTTGTGGACCATTTTGTGTCTGATATACAGTTAAACTTCCTGTTATATGTGCTATGGTTGATGGGATAATGTGGACCTTGATGCACTTTGATAATGAATTTTCTTGTCTTCATTTACAGCTTGTTAAGTGGGATCAGTTGAGCTTCGCATCGGCTATGGGGCCTGCTGCTGAAGAGCTTCTGGCTGCTGGATTAGAAGGTTATGTTAATCAGGCGAAGCGTGTAGAGGAATTATTTGGTAAGATATGGCCACCACCAAACGTGTGATAATTTTCCATGAGGGCTACTTTCAGTTGTCACTTTATTTTATTTTATTTTTTGGGCCAAGCGAAAATGGTACATGAACCTTTTTTTGTCGCTGTTGTTGTTGCTATAAGAATAACAGAAGAGAGAACTTGTGTAGTCCTAATTTCCCTTCACCTATCTCGGTAATCTGTTAACAGTAGACTCTCATCAATCAAATGCCTGCTTACCCTTTCATACGATGAATTCAGATGGGATAAGGAGGATCTGTTATTAAGTTAATCCCAACCTGACATTAAATAAATGTCTCTTTCCTTCCAAGTTCCAACATGTGTTCACCCCAGGGGCCTTAGTTTAAATTTTATTATCCATTCTTTTTGTGTGCATGTATGGTGGGATGGGATTAAACTAAAGCAGAATATATGATATGTAAATTTAATGATAATAAGAATGCAATCAGGGTACACTTGGGATTGGAGATCAAGAAATAATTCTGTGACCTTTTCAGTACCTTGGTTTGACAACTCATGACAGGGAGGTGTCACCCATAGAATTAGAACAGGGTGGCAAAATGGAGGGGTGCATTTGGAATCTAATGTGGTAGGCTAACACCATTTAAATTAAAAGGAAGGTTCCCTATAACAGTTGCAAGGCCAACTATGCTGTACAGAGTGCAAGACAGTCGAGAAACTATGTCCAAGTAATGAGCGTAACGGAATTTCATATGCTGAAATAGATGAGTGAAAAAATTAGAAAGTATAGGGCCAGAAATGAATGTCATTCAAAGGAACCTAGGAGTACGGTCGAATTGTTTGGGTTTGATTTGGGCCAGAATCAGAAGAGTTAACCAAACTGGTTTGGATCAAACAGGATGTTTGGGTTGAGCACGGTCGAATTGTTTGGGTTTGATTTGGGCCAAACTGATCCAAATAGGATTGAACCGTGCCAACTGACTAGGTTTGGGGTTGCTTTGAGTTAGGTATGTTGGACCATTTGGGTATAACTTGGACTGGTCTGGTCTTAGCCAAATTGGGCCAAAACCTACTAGCTTTGTATGGGTTTGGTTGGGCCGTTCGTGCTCAGATTGAACTAGGTTAGCTATAACTGAAATGGGCCATATAAATTGGTTGGTTGAACTGGTTGAAACCAAGTCAGACCAGACCATCTACCCATTTGAATGGGTTCGAGTTAATTCAGTTGGGTATAGTTGAATCCAAGGTTTTTAAAACTGAACAGGACAGGGAACCGTTCTGGGGTCTGGTTCTCAGGTTGAATGTTCTGACCGTTTGAACCGAATGGATGGTCTGTTCTGACAAAAAAATAAAAAAGTAAAAAATGGCCAAAAACCGTTGTCTGGGTCAGTGGGTTGACGGTTCGACTGCCCAGGTCAGCGGTTTGCTGACCAAATCAACGGTTTTTGGTCAAAAAGCGGTTCTGGGCTGAAACGGAACTGGTCAGGTGACCGGTTCCTGGTTTTTCTTGTCCAACTATCTGGTCTGGTCCAGTTTTGAAAACATTGGTTGAATGATTTGATTCTACTTAGTTGTTCTATACTGGACTAGACTAATTTGGCCATCGAACTATCTAATCAGATTTGAATTAATTTTGATTGGGTGTGGGTGCACGTGCTGACCCGGATCAGACCATCGGACCATTTGATCGAGTTCAAGTAAGGTTAATTTGAGATAGGTACGRTTGTGGTGTATTTGTGAATGAGAAACTACTAGCTAGGCAATTCATACTTGTATTATTAACAATTAACCAGTGAGGCCCAATCTGACATCTAATACCATGGCTTGGATGACGTGTTTATGTAATTGGATCAAATTTGGGTTTGCAATCTAGATTAATAATTAGATTGATTTGGATTTGATTCCATTTAATCCGGTTATATTATTATATTTATTTATTTTAATATGTATAAATTTTATATAATTATATTTAAATTTATAAAAATATATTTTTATATATTATATTATATATGAATTTACATATATAATAAATTCAGCATGTTATATTTATATTAATTTATTATATATAAAAGTTGAAAAATAATTAACTTTTTAGGAAAAAATTAGGGTAAAARACTTAAACCTCCCCTAAGGTTGCTCATAAATACTAACACCTCCCTTCTGATTTTTGATAGGACTTAAAACCTCCCCTCTAATAATGAGATGCCATTATATTTAACAGATTGATGAAAAAACATTTTTATCCCTCATTATGCTTCAAATTTTCAAAGAAAACAACAGTTACAGTTTGCATGATCAGTGTTGCGTCCTGTTGGAAGACGTAGATTAAGGGGGCCGCAGCCTGAAATGAACAACAAATCTGGGGCACATTAAAGGACCTCTGTTTTGGAGGACCAAAAAACAGAAACCTGAAGCAAGATGACAAGTTTTTTATTTTTTTTTCGGTTCATAAAGAGTGAGGGTTTTCGGACAATTGGATACAATTATCCAAAAACATGTTGAAGGTATTTTTTTCCACACCTACAACGAAATGATAATAAAGCTCACGTTTTCAACCAATCTTTTTTGTTTTTGTTTTTTTTTGGCTTCAAAGAGTACATAGGGATAGTAAGAGAAGATACGGAGAATGGTTAACACTCGGAAACATATCGTTTATGTTAATTGAATCAATCATGGCAATTCAAGGAACTAGCAGAAGATTGAGAACCATATATCATGTGATCGAACTACCCCTAGATTTTAAAATAACTACAATCCCATCTGGAAGGAAATTCCTAGATGTTCTTTTGCTAAGTAGAAAATCCTAGTATACATGCCTTAACAGCTACCTCTGAATGCTACGTAAGCCATACTGAAACATATATAGCTTCTAATTAAGTCGTTCAAAATTGATAGGAAACACTTGTCTTTCAATTCTTTCCAATGCTCTATATGCACTCTCAATCTATAACATTGTTGGGAAAAAAATCAAAAGAACCCAAAGTTAAGGGATCCCAAATATGTATAACCAGATGATAAGTAATAACTAACCCCAAAAAGAGGGTGAAAGACTCAACAACCCTTCTGATGGTAGGCTGATTCTGAGTTCTTTGGTTAGCGTCAACAGTCTGTGTCTTACTACAAGATTCCATCCTACAGTTCAAGAGATTCCCATCACGAACTGTTCTTCAACCTACCTGCAATTTTCTTGTTTGTGTGAACAATGCTGCTAAGATTGTTGGATGTAAGTGTTGCTGTTTGTTACAATTCACACCATGGATTCCGTTTTATAATTTTGTAGAAGAAATTCATGGAGGGGGGAGGGGGAGGGGAGTTTCACATGCAACAAGATGAACAATGTTGCATCCTGCAGCTGCAGTTCACGAGATGAGATCTATCTAGTTACTTTCTTCAACCTCCCAAAATTGTTTCTAGGGATTATGTCTTGCTGTTGTGTCAATAGAGAGGCAATATTGGGTTTCTTGAAAAAATTAGCAATCTATAACTGGATCTTAACAAATTGCTAACAGAAGGGAGGTATATGTATGATGATGCTGTCATCTCACAAGGGAGATCATAGTCCTTTTTTAAAAGAGAGGGGAGGTCTTAGTATTTAGCATGAACAACAAGGAAGGCTCAAGTCTTTTACACTAAAAATTAAAGCAGAGTTGGATTAAATCTGAATCTATTAGGATTCCAATTTGAATTCGAGGTGTTCAAATCGGATCAGATTTCAGATTGAATTCATATGCAAATTTTCAATAA